CTTCATCTATGCGCTGCAAGTATGATATTTATCATATTATTATAATTTATTTAATTTGATTACGTATTTTGAACTATTTTCTTTTTGAAACATTCGATTTTATTCAGAACTCGAAGGTGATCCTCAGGCAACAAACGATTTGGTATTGAGTGCTGTACAACATTTCTTTTTCCCCCGTGTTCTTTTGACTTTGATTTTGTCTTTTCCCCTAGGGAGGCTAGGGTTGCCCTGCCCCCCTCTCTTTCTCGCACAGGGCTAACTGGATCCCTCTTGCAGGAACTAGCCCCGGTTATCGTGGCTTTCTGCCTAGAACAAAAGGTCTCCACCTCCTATCACATTGAATTGAAATGTCTATTACTTTCTCATGTTTAGTTGTCGACCGTTGTGGTTTGTTTGGGATAATAATGGCAGGTCTCTAATGTGTATGCGAAGTGGTGCACGCGACTCTCTACCGCTCGGCTCAATCGTTGGCTTCTGAAGGTGCGTGTTCCGGTTTGTCCCGTGTGAAGATAGCCATTGGACTACAAAGAGCCATTGGTACCATCTGCTGTTGTTGATGTAATGGTTAGCAACCTCAAATTGACGATGACCAGCCGACCATTAAGATACACGCCATGCGACAAGACAGTCTCACGCGCGCCAGGAGAACATGGAAGACTACAAGCAGAAGAAAGGAGAAGAAGAAGAGGAGGAAGAGGAAGAAGAAGAAGAAAGGGGGGAAAGAAAGAAAGGAAAGGAGAAAGGGAAAGGGAGGGAGATGAGAATGAAGTACGCCAGAGTGAAAGGTAAATCCCCGAATGCGACTTGATCGAAAAATGTAACAGTGAAAGCAAGGCGGAGGACCCGACTACTTTCGACTGGTCTGCCAAACCAGTCCTCATCAGGGGTCTTGGTCGTCACTGGTGACATCTACGGTTCACTAAGGCGTATTTATATTCTGAGAAAGGACCACCGTCAGTCACTACAGCCGAAAGAATAAGTCCTATGAATAATATGACGTTTGAACTGCTGTCCTCCACCAACTACTTCAACCAACTCCACGTTCTTACTTCAACGACGAGTGTTCGAGGTATGCAAAAGAAAAAGAAAAAGAAAAAGCACCTATCAAAAACACATGCTATGCTACGAAAAAACTTTTTTGAAACATCTGCTGGCCTAGCTCAGTTGGGACACCCTTAACTGTTGAAGTACAGACCTGAGCTGAGACTGCAATTGGAGTGTACCATCTTCAAAATCAATTTTGAAACAAACGGTGCATATTGGGAAGAAATGAGAATAAAATACACATCCAAATTAATCATAAATTAAAATGAAATAAAAAGTTTTCTAGAAAAGCCTATCAGCGAAGGAGCAGTGACTGCGATGTACAACGAAAAACAACAAAAATTCTGTAACAACTGTATGAAAATTAAGTACAATCTCTTTCCGAACTAATTTGAAGAAAAATTTCAGTATAAGATATAAGAGAGTAATTGAGTATTTGAGTATTTGTCATTTGAGCAATTAAAGGACAAAGTGGAAGCAGATGAGTAAAATACTACAGCTCGGAATACCTATGGCCGGGCGGTTCGATGTATGGGTATCTCAAGGCCATCGCAGCCATTGCTCTTTAAAAGAAAAGAGAAAAGAAAGAGAAAGAGAAAGGGAAGGGAAGGAAAGGAAGGAAGGAAGGAAGGAGGGGAGGGAAAAAGAAAAGAAAAAAAAACAAAGAGCCATTGGACGACAGGGCAACATGCATGGTCAGTCACATAACCAGAAGGAGGGTAAACGGAATAATGTGGTGGCAACTTTGACTAGCTTCATCGGTGTCCGCCGTTTTGTGGAGGGGGAGAGGGTGGTTGGTTTCACATTGAGTTGTGTCTTTGCTTACTTGCTGCAGCTGTGGAATGAAGTGGCTCAGGCTGGCTCAGGAAGGCTCGGCTCGATTTTGCTCCGCGAGCTCAGCTCGACTCGGCTTGGCTCAGCTCAGCTACCGGTAGGCTTGGCTCCGCTCAACTACCGGTAGGCCTGGCTCCGCCTCATTCACGCAGGCTCAGCTTGGCTCGGCTCGGCTTGGCTCGGCTCGGCTTGGCTTGCCTCGGCTTGGCTCGGCTCAGCCCAGCTCGGCTCGGCTCAGCCCAGGTCGGCTCAGCTTGACCACATTCAGCTCGGCGCGGCTCAATGCATCCTGCTTGGCTCAGCCTGGCCCCGCCAGGGCCGGGTCAACTTCAGCCTGCTGATTTGATTCTCTGTTTGTGTCATGGTTACGCCATATGGGGACCCGTACACAGGGGACGTCTGCCCGCACTGACGTCTGGAGAAATCCGGACGTCTGAGGAAAAGGGGAGGAGGGGGGAAGGATCACTAAAGGTTGACAAGCAGGGGGGAGGTGCGTTGCCCCCCC